GTTGATGCAAAGTTCCAGATGTGACCTGTTAAGAGGGTGGTGGTGAAATGGTCAGATGATGTCACATCCCCCCCAGGGAGCCCACAATCAAGACAAATCCTCTGCAAGCATCAACAGACACAAAACACATGCTTACACACTTAAGACCTCAAATTTCACCACCCATAGCACCCTGAAATGGACAGAATAACAGATGTTAACATTAAGTGCATGTTTTAAAAAGGCTACTAAATTACAGACCTTAAATCATGCACAAAGTAAAAGCATCAAAAAAGGAAAAAAAGAAAACAAACACGCAAAAGATATAATTTTATAGTCAAATTTTTTCCATGCTTCTCACCCATTAATGCTCATACCAATAAAACCACTCCATTTATTACTAGTGCTTGCTTAGACCAGCATAGAAATGAACAAAAAACAATTAGAACACCGTAGCAACTGTACAACACCCTGGCAACCACAACATAATAGCATTGTGACAGAAAGTTGTGAGCACACGACAAATAAGCATGACCTGATATTTACTCAAAGAACATACATTTTACTATTAAAACAAACAATATTGAATGTTACGCAAAGAATCGTCAGAACTTCATACAAATATTACAGTATGAGGATCAGTGACATGATGGTCATTGTTTATCTGGATGTATTAATATTCAAAAATACATTACATATAAAATTCATGCATGCAATAACTTGAATATAGCTCTTCTATGATAAGTTTATGTTTTAATTTATTAATTAAAATGAATTTTGATCATTTTTGGGGAAGCATCAAGTAAAAACGTATAAATTTTTCCTTATATGACAATGAAGAAAAAAATACTAATCAAAAGAATAAAATTATTTAAACAAAAAGCTTATGCATATTTTTTTATCATAATTTCTTAAGAAACAAAAGCATTTTAATATTTTTATATTTGCATATTATATTCATATTTAAACTGCTTTACAGTTTAATATTTGGAGAAAAAAAAATTGTCGACAGAATCAAAGTCAAGAGCGACCAACAGAGTAATGGGGTGTGACAAACATGCAGGAAAAATTTTTTTATTTTTTTTTTAAACTGTATGAAACCAACATGAATACATGGATTTAACTTGGCACATGCATTTTAAAATTGATTTCTTAAAGATTTTTTTCTTATACACTATTATTTGTCACTGAACCATGTGTCTTTATGTGCCATCAGCATACAGCACAAGTGTTCTCATGGCTTTAGATGATGACTTTCCCTCTCACATCTGCAGACTGAGAACAAACATTTGAACTCTGAAACTCTGACGTTTGGTTGCTGTCAGGTTTATATTCACTTACTGCTTGATCAAAAATGCTGAACTTAAAACTACTTGGTATTTTTACATTACTGGTGTAGTGTCTTTGTTCTGTTTCAAACTGACAAAGAGGAAAACTGGCACACGCACACACATATAAACGCGTGTGTGTGTGTGTGTGTGTGTGTGTCAAAGTGCCCGTAACCTTGTTGCACTCCCTTCATTGAAATCTCAAGGGTGAGGACATTGCAGTAGTTCGAACAGACAGAGAGACATTCCTTTGCAGTTTCCTCACTAGGGTGGAAACTGAACACTGGTCCTTGAGTCTCAACTGGAGGTTGCAGAAGGGTCTGGCACACACCCTCCTTCCCCCCTCCCGACCACAAAATGCAGTCCCCGCCCTCAAGCTCAATCTCTATAAGAAGAACAAGCTGAGCTTGAAGGCACCAATCCTCTTCAGGACAACTCCCAGCAGTTTCCTGTAGTGTCCTCCCTGCGTTCTTCTCATCTCAGCATCCATCCACCATGTCAGTCTCTGTTCGCACGACAACCTCCACTAATATTGAAAAAAATTTTTTTTTTTTTTTTAAACTGTATGAAACCAACATGAATACATGGATTTAACTTGGCACATGCATTTTAAAATTGATTTCTTAAAGATTTTTTTCTTATACACTATTATTTGTCACTGAACCATGTGTCTTTATGTGCCATCAGCATACAGCACAAGTGTTCTCATGGCTTTAGATGATGACTTTCCCTCTCACATCTGCAGACTGAGAACAAACATTTGAACTCTGAAACTCTGACGTTTGGTTGCTGTCAGGTTTATATTCACTTACTGCTTGATCAAAAATGCTGAACTTAAAACTACTTGGTATTTTTACATTACTGGTGTAGTGTCTTTGTTCTGTTTCAAACTGACAAAGAGGAAAACTGGCACACGCACACACATATAAACGCGTGTGTGTGTGTGTGTGTGTGTGTGTCAAAGTGCCCGTAACCTTGTTGCACTCCCTTCATTGAAATCTCAAGGGTGAGGACATTGCAGTAGTTCGAACAGACAGAGAGACATTCCTTTGCAGTTTCCTCACTAGGGTGGAAACTGAACACTGGTCCTTGAGTCTCAACTGGAGGTTGCAGAAGGGTCTGGCACACACCCTCCTTCCCCCCTCCCGACCACAAAATGCAGTCCCCGCCCTCAAGCTCAATCTCTATAAGAAGAACAAGCTGAGCTTGAAGGCACCAATCCTCTTCAGGACAACTCCCAGCAGTTTCCTGTAGTGTCCTCCCTGCGTTCTTCTCATCTCAGCATCCATCCACCATGTCAGTCTCTGTTCGCATGACAACCTCTACAGTTCCCAGGACCATGACCTCCAAGTCCATTATCACCAAGACCCGGAGCAGTTCGGCGGCCTTTCCGCAGAAAGCCCACAGCGTGTATGGAGGTAGTCTAAGAGGTAGCACCCGCATCTCTACTTACAGAGTTGGAGGTGGTGGAGGATATGGTGGAGGACACGGTTTTGGTGGAGGATACGGAGGAGGATACGGTGGAGGACATGGTGGAGGATTCAGCACTGGAATCTTGGTTGGAGGTGACAGTGACTTGATGCAGCTGAATGAGAAGGCCACCATGCAGAACCTGAACGACCGTCTGGCGTCCTACCTGGAGAAAGTGCGCTCACTGGAGGCTGCCAATGCCACTTTGGAGAGGCAGATCCGCGAGTACTATGAGAAGAAAGGGCCGATTGCACAGAGGGACTACAGCCACTACTGGAACACCATCAAGGACCTGAAGGACAAGGTACAGTGATGCCTGAAAGAATATGCCACGTGATAGGAAAGACTAGCAAATTCTAGTGCACTAATCTAGTTGCTAAATAATAGATTGCAGATTACAGAGAATCCTTGCAACACACTGCATACTGTTCTCATATAAAAGACTGCAAAGTTGCAAAGTCTGACATATTTGGCATGCAACCTTATGACATTTTGCCCCACTTTTATGTTCTGAACTAATGTATTAAAAACTGCATCTCAATGCTTTTCATTACAGATTAAAAATGCTACCATCCACAACGCCAACATCCTCCTGCAGATTGACAACTCTAAACTGGCTGCTGATGACTTCAGGATAAAGTAAGTTCTCTCAAATAACATTCCTCTGTAACGATAGCTTGATAGCTTTAGCATCTTGAAAGATCATGCTTTATATATGATTGGTGAGTTTATTCCTCATCCTGCTTCTCCACCAATCAGATATGAGCATGAACTGGTAATGCGGCAGTCTGTGGAGGCCGACATCGCTAACCTGCGCCGCTTGCTGGACCAGACGACCCTGACAAAGGCCGACCTGCAGATGCAGATTGAGAGTCTGCAGGATGAGCTGGCGTTTATGAAGAAGAACCACCAGGAGGTTTGTAGTGACTTGCCTGTAGTGTTTTTTTTTTTTGAACTTGCAGCTAATCAGAGACCTGATGCTGAAGCCTTGTGGGTTTACAGGACTTGGCTGCACTGAGGTCACAGCTGACAGGCACAGTGAACGTAGAGGTTGATGCTGCTCCTCAGCAAGACCTGAACAAGGTTCTGGAGGAGGTTCGTGCTCATTATGAGAACATCATTCAGAAACACCGCAGGGAACAGGAAGACTGGTTTAAAGACAAGGTAAGACATCCTCTGTCTCCTTGAATCAGTGAATTCTACTTTGTTATCAAACATAACACAAGACCCCTGATTTCACTGAATCAACCACATATTCCAGCTGGTATCTTATACTAGTGATACTGAGGTAAAACAATACAGCTGAGTTTATGATGTACAGTACTTGAATTCATATTGTGTGTGTTTCTGTCTCTTTTAGACGGCAGGTTTGAACAAAGAAGTGGCCATCAGCACAGAGACCATACAAACAACCAAGACACAGATCACAGATCTACGACGCACCTTGCAGGGTCTGGAGATCGAACTACAGTCTCAACTCAGCATGGTGAGACACAAGTGGAATTCAGGAAGTGTAGGGGGGAGAGCAAGAGATTACATTATCTGAACCGAAGTTCAGGAAAATATGTGACCCTGGAGCACAAAACCAGTCTTAAGTCGCTGGGGTATATTTGTAGCAGTAGCCAAAAATACATTGTATGGGTCAAAATTATAGTTTTTTGTTTTATGCCAAAAATCATATTCATGTTCCATGAAGATATTTTGTAAATTTCCTACCGTAAATATATCAAAACTTAATTTTTGATTAGTAATATGCATTGCTAAGTACTTCATTTGGATAACTTTAAAGGCGATTTTCTCAATATTTTGATTTTATTGCACCCTCAGATTCCAGATATTCAAATAGTTGTATCTCGACCAAATATTTTCCAATCATAACAAACCATACATCAATGGAAAGCTTATTTATGTATAAATCTAAATTTTGAAAAATTGTCACTTAAGACTGGTTTTGTGGTCCAGGGTCACATATTACTTAAGAGGTTAGGAAACAGATGGAAAAGAGGGTGAGATATGTCAAGAATGCTTTATTTTATGAAGTCCTCCAAATCCCAGGAAGTAGGTGTGGTACAATGAAAAGAATGAGAGAAGCCATTTATAACTCTGGAGATCTGAAGGGTTCATTTGTGGACTTTCTTCTTGGTGGTGTGTTTCTGTGTTTTTCTAGTCATCATGCCCCCTAATGTTGTTCCAATCCATTTGATTTTCATGAAAATAGAGATTTTTCAAACAACAGCACTTTATTGTGAGCAATTTCTGCATGTTCTCGTTACTTGCACAGAAAGCGGCACTGGAAAACTCACTGGCAGACACAGAGGCTAGGTACAGCGCTATGCTAGCAGGCTACCAGAACCAAATCAACATGCTGGAAGCTGAGCTAAGTCAAGTGCGGGCTAGCATTGAGCAACAGGGGCGAGAATACGCCTTGTTGCTGGACATCAAGACTCGTCTGGAGCAGGAGATCGCCACCTACAGGAGCCTCCTGGAAAATCAAGACATTAAGTAAGTTCATTTCTTTTATTTGTCAGAGTTATTGTGTGTCAAAAGTGGTGCATGGATCATGTTAAGTCATTCAGTCCTGGAATTGCTTCACTAATGCATCTTTTCTTTTTCTTTTTCCAGGACTCAAATGCCAGGTAATTCTTTCTTTGCATACTGAAGTGGGATGGACAGTTTCAGGTAGGTACTACAGTGAATGCATGAAATTTTGCATTATTGACTCTCTCTCTCTCTCTGCCTTCAGGTGCAACTGTCACCATCACCACAGGTGGAACAACAACAATCCAGAAGACACAGCATAGATTCTAAATGCAGAGCACACTGCTTTATGAGACAACATCTGGACACACACATACATTTGGTTTTGAAAGTTTACTGAAGTAATATTGAGAAAAAGTGTTACCAAAAGAAAAACAGATGATGATACTCATTTATGTGTGATAAATTCTAAAGTCTCTGAAAATAAAGCTGCTGTCATGCTGTCTTTATCTGAACACTATATTCTTTCTTTTACATTAAAGAGTAAAAAACTGGTGTCTACTTCAAAATGCAAAATAAAATGGGAGATTCACATTCCTGACATATTTAGACTGTAGTGTGGTGCCACAGTTTTCCATTACTTGAAAACACTCATTTACAGTAATCACTAGAAAAAAGTATGAGGGAAATAAACCGTCTCAGTCTTCCCAATGTTATTCATGGGTTCCTTCCATAACAGCCTCACAACAATAGTGTATATGTTGCCTGGCAACAGATCCATCACAAAAGCGGTGAAGGGAAGGTCATAAAAGCTGGCTGACCATTAACTTCCCCTTTATCAGTAAAAACCTTTGACCTTCATAAACAATTGCAATTGTGTAACTGGATAAAAGAACATTTATATATAGAGAGGAAAATATGTGCAGAAGAGAAAGCGATTGAAAGAGAGACATGTACATACTCATTTATTTGAATAAAAATGCTATTTGGATTGTACTTCCATGTATCTTGGCTTTTTCTATTAAGGTCAAATATGTTCTACGCTTACATTTATGTGATTTGCAGGAGGCAACAGGTCATGTAATGACCAGTAATCTTCATAAAGAGACAAGACCAGAAGAGTTAGTGAAATGTAGAGAGAAAATAGTACAAAATGACTTTCAACTTTGTCTCTACATGAAAGCAGACTCATTGGCAGACATAGGTGTGGTATTATTTTTGCTCAGATGCTGACTGATGAGATGTGCTGAGATTTTACTGTTTGATTGGTTCCAGTTCTGTTGACTTCGGGGAATGCTATGAATCAGAATTAAAATTGTGTTACTGTCTCAAAACAAGTTGCTGCAATCAGACTAAGAGGTTGTCAACTGGGTGTGGTACGGCACTTTCACCAAAAAATGGGCAGTGGGCAGTGTGCAGTGTTGTATGCTCAATGTGCTCTGTGATATTGTTAAATCACTACGTGATTTCTTACTGTAAACTTAATTATATACATCAATAGCCTGAATTTACAATATTATGAAATCTCCCATTTGAAAAAAAATGAAATCTCCCATTTGAAAAATTCAAAAGACCCATCCAGCAATGGTTTTCACTGACTCTGTTTCTGTTTTCTTTTTAAGTTTTGACTTACAGTTCTTTGTCTTGTTGCAAGAAGGGTTATAATACCTGGAAAGAGCTATCTGTTACATTTATCTCAATGGAAATTGTACGTTTACACTGGCTTGTTAGTGTGGCATAATGCATTTATAGGCCTACTGGAATCACAATCACAGGAAACAATGTATCACACTTGAATGTTGAATTTCATGCTGAAATGGCAGCGAAACGAGACATGCTAATTGACAATGGATTTTGTAGACTGCAGGATTTAAAACTTTTAAAAGACAGAAAATCCTATAAGAAAGTGTCTCTGCAGAGTGCTAAAATGCAGTCTGAAGCTAAATCTATAAAAAGATAATACTGCTTGCTAAGGTCCCAAAGATTTTTTTAAATTCTTTATTAATAACCAAAGATTTGCTGTACACCTTGTTAAAAAGCTTTTGAGGGTCACTATAAGATAGATAAACTTTAAAATAAGAACAGTCCTGATATGTGAGTTGATTTATTATAGTCACAAAAAGACCAACTCTTTTTGATTCTTCATCACATTATTCACGTTTTAATGCATTTGCACAATTTACCATAAATGCTTTCTTGGGAATCAAACCCATGACTAGGGATGGGTATCGTTAAGGTATTGACGGTATTACTACTCTTACTGATACTGCTTATCGATTCGGTACTTTAACGGTATTCTTATCGGTACTTTTTGGTTTATATATATATATATATATATATAGACAAATTATGAGCTGAATTGACATTGCTTATATTCTGAAATGTAAAATAAATATTTAATGAAATGAATATAAAACATCAATTTGTAAATGCAACAGTGTGCAGGCATTTTTATACATAAGATAAGATACATGAACAAAGAAACAAAGTAAAACAAACTGACAAATACAATAAAACAAATATACACATGAAATGAAATAAACAGTGCTTTCATTTTTCCATGAAGGTCTACTAACATTACTGTTCAGGTAAGTAATAGCATACAAAAGAAATCTAAAAGTAATCAAATGTAAATGAACACTGCATAGTGTTCACTGTATGTATTGATAGATTACTGTTTACTAAAGCTATAACGTTATTCAGATTAAGAGCTGTGAGTGATTTTGACTTTGCATTTTGTTGTTTGATTAACATTGATGGCCCAAGCGTCAGTCTGTCACTGTAAGAATATATTGACTATGGGTATAGTTAAAGTTTTAACGGTATTATGACCCTGGCGTTTTTAGCACTATGTACTTATGTTTGAGCTCCTGAGTTTGTTACAAACAACAAGATTATTCAATTTAACACGTAAAAGTCTGAGTCTCGCTGTATCGCTCAGGCTACACTGCAGTGTCTATTCACAGGCGCGACCCCACTACTGATCGACACGGGGGCTTTGACCTGCTCCGTCTCCGACCTGGGCCGGTTCACCCCTCCTTAGACGACCTGGTGGTCCCGAGCTCCCCCAGGAGCACCATATCGATACCGAACTTAGTGCGGACACCCGATCGACATAGTCCACTGCAGCCCAGAACCCCTGAACTCAAGCGATCCGCCAGCCTCAGCCTCCCAGCAGCTTGGATTACAGGCGCGCGCCACTGCACCCGACGAGAGCTGCGAGCATCAGCGCTGCTCCTCAATCTAGTGCTCACTGCGACCTCTAGTGCAGCACAGCAGAACAAGTATCTCTGTCTCTCTCAAATATAAATGTAGAATCGAGAAGCTTTATTAGTAAGGAAGCTAAAAAAAAAAGATGTTTTACTCCTCAGAATACAATACAAATAAATAATTTAGTTTAGACATTTAATGCACTCTTTATGACAAAATTGCACACATGGATAGTTTTAAAGCAAAGAAAGTTTCATTTTTAGTTTTAATAAGTAGAAAGCTTTGTACTTTTTCCTCATGTTTTTGACTACATACTAAATAAATATTAAAATATTGCACACATGCACCATCCACAATAAAATAAAATAAAATAAAAAAGTACTGAGCACCCAAGTAATCAAGTTGATCCGTGTGACCTGTAAAAGGGTGGTGAAACTGCCACAGATGATCTCACATCACCTCAGGGAGTTACCTGTCTGCCAAATCCTTCTTTATTATGATTAAAATTGTGAGTTTATAAATGTATAAACCCCGCATGACCAGCTCAGCCTCCTTTTTCTGCACCTAGCTGTCAAAGAGATTTCCTCCACTGGTACAAAACACTTGCACATGCTCATAAACACACACACACACAACTTGTATACACACAGTGTGTCGAAAGCTTAATTGTCTTACTGCACTCCCTCCATTGTAGTCTTGAGGGTGAGTACATACAGTTAACACATAAATTCTTTGGAGTTTCCTCACTAGGGTGGAACCTGAACACTGGTATTAAGTTTAAGTTTCAACTCTGCTGGTGGTGACAGCTGGGACTGGCACACATACACTCTCCCACACACACCCTACCTCCTTCACTCACCCACAAAGTCCAGGAGTCGCCCTGGATCTGCATCTCTATAAAAGATCAGAGCTGGCCTCAAAGGTGCCATCCTCGTCTGGACAACTCTAACGGTTTCCTGCAGTGTCCACTCTGGGTTCATCTCATCTCTGTATCCATTCACCATGTCGGTCTCTGTTCGCACGACATCCTCCAAAGGTCCCAGGACTGTGACCTCAAAGTCCATTATCACCAAGAGTCGGGGCGGTTCCACGATCTTTCCACAGAAAGCCTACAGCGTGTATGGAGGTGGCTTAGGAGGAAGCACCCGCATCTCTTCCAGCTCACTGCAATCCAGAATTGGAGGATACGGTGGAGGATATTGTGGAGGATACGGTGGAGGATACGGGGGAGGATATGGTGGAGGATACGGTGGAGGATATGGTGGAGGTTGTGGTGGAGGATTTGGAGCAGGCATAATGCCTGGAGGCTGTGTTGTAAACGACTTTCAGCTGAATGAGAAGGCCACCATGCAGAACCTGAAAGACCGTCTGGCGTCCTACCTGGAGAAGGTGCGCTCACTGGAGGCTGCCAATGCCATCCTGGAGAGGCAGATCCGCGAGTACTATGAGAAGAAAGGGCCGATTGCACAGAGGGACTACAGCCACTACTGGAACACCATCAAGGACCTGAAGGACAAGGTACAGTGATGCCTGAAAGAATATGAAACATTACTAGCAAGTTCTAGTGCAATGATACCTTTGCATATAGCAGCTGAAAAAGAGATCACAGATCATCACTTGCTTTCTCAGAGTTTGATGATATGCCCATATAAAGCAAGTCTCCGCATTTATAAGTGTTTACATATTCTACATTTCAGATTAAAAACGCTACCATCCACAACGCCAACATCCTCCTGCAGATTGACAACTCTAAACTGGCTGCTGATGACTTCAGACTGAAGTAAGTCACACAACTGTTTCAGCACAACAGCAAATCAGCATGTTAGAATGATTCTGAAGGATCATGTGACACCGAAGACAGGAGTAATGGCTGCGAAAAACAAATCAGCTTTGACATTGCAGAAATAAAATTACATCTGAAAACATATAACAATAGAAAACAGTTTTAAAAATCTCAATATTACGTTTTTCCTGTATTTTTGTTCAAATATATTCAAGCTCGGTGAGCATAAGAGACTTCTTTCAAAAATGCTAAAAAAAATTTAAAAAACCTGTAGTGAGTGTGGATTTATGACATTGGTTGTGTTTAAACAATGAATGGTGTTTATATTTCCTATGTCACCTTTCCACCAATCAGATATGAGCATGAGGTGGTGATGCGGCAGTGTGTGGAGTCTGACATCGCTAACCTGCGCCGCTTGCTGGACCAGACGACCCTGGCAAGGGCCGACCTGGAGATGCAGATCAAGGGTCTGGAAGAAGAGCTGGCATTTATGAAGAAGAACCACCAGGAGGTTTGCAATAG